GAGGCGGGAGGATTGTTTGAGCTCAGGAGTTCGAAACCAGCCTGAGCAAGAGCGAGACCCCGTCTCTACTAAAAATAGAAAGAAATTAATCGGACAACTAAAAATACATAGAAAAAATTAGCTGAGCATGGTGGCGCATGCCTGTAGTCCCAGCTACTCGGGAGGCTGAGCCAGTAGGATTGCTTGAGCCCAGGAGTTTGAGGTTGCTGTGAGCTAGGCTGACGCCACGGCACTCACTCTAGCCTGGGCAGCAGAGTGAGACTCTGTCTCAAAAAAAAAAAAAAAAAAAAATTCAGATGCCCAGGCTCTACCCAATACCAATTAAATCAGAATCTCTTGGTTTGGTGGGAGGGTGGGGGTTCCAGGCATCAATGGTTTTTATAATAAAACTCTTCAGATAATTCCATTGTGCAGCCAAGTTTGAGAACCAGTAATTTAGGCAACAGATGAGAGATTCAGTAGAGAGATTCAGATGAATCTGAGAGATACTGAGGGGGCAATTATTTTTATAAACAACAATCAGGTGGACAAAAGGCTAGTCTGCATCTTACACTGAAATGAACTTCTAAAACCAGTGCATAAGGTAAAAACCAAATGCAAAGTTATTCTTGACAATCTCTTAAATCATTAAAGAGTAATGATATTAAATTATATGAAATCATTATTTAGAATAAAGAATTTGGAATTCTCAGCAAGTTGGTTCAAGTTTCTCCATAGTTCTCAATTAATTCTTTATTTTTCAATCATGACTTTAGAAGGAGTCACCACCACAAATTGACATGAACAGTAATTGTACTTTGTTGAATGGCAAGGAAATCCGAATAATCATTTCATACGTTCTTTCCATAGTATCCCCAATCTGTATAGCACATTTCAGGCTTGGTAACATCAGCTGTTCTCAGAACATCTCTTGTTGGATTCACCTGATTTAAATATGTGTACAATTCAATTCTATGGTAAATCCTACAACAAGGATCACTAAGAGCTGTTGAGTAGGATTCCTTATACTTCTAAACTACCTTAACACATTTCCCTGAAATACAATGTGATTCTCAAGAAGGCCATAGTTACTCTTTGACTCAATAATAAACCCTGAGAAGTCATATGGTTACTGACTACAGACAAGGTCACACTTAATTAAGTTTAATTTAAAAATCCTCCAAAGATGGCATTTCCAGTCATACTTCCTAGGTTAATGAAATGTTATCTGTTCTTAAGAAATGTTTATTTTTTGAAATGCTATTGAAGTGTTAAGGAAGGTGGGATAGAAGAGTGAAAAGATTAGGTACTTTGGAGCCTGATAATTCTGAGTCAGAGGTGGGCTGTACCTCTTATAAGCCATGCAAATGTGGGCAAATTAATTAATTTCATAATATCAGTGTACTTCTGAGAGTTACTGGCAATGTGTGAATGTTAAGGTAAGTAAAGCACCCAGTAACATAAAGTTTTGTTAACAATGCTATCATTGAAACACCCTGGTCTTTGGTTCATTGAACAATGATTACTGTATTCAACTCAAGCCCTTGAATTCTTACCTTTTATTATTATTTATTTATTTTTTTTTTTTTTGAGACAGAGTCTCACTCTGTTGCCCGGGCTAGGGTGCCGTGGCGTCAGCCTCACTCACAGCAACCTCACACTCCTGGGCTCAAGCGATCCTACTGCCTCAGCCTCCCGAGTAGCTGGGACTACAGGCATGCGCCACCATGCCCGGCTAATTTTTTCTATATATTTTTAGTTGTCCAGCTAATTTCTTTCTATTTTTAGTAGAGACAGGGTCTCACTCTTGCTCAGGCTGGTCTCGAACTCCTGAGCTCAAGTGATCCTCCAGCCTCGGCCTCCCAGAGTGCTAGGATTACAGGTGTGAGCAACCACACCCAGCCGAATTCTTACCTTTTAGATAAGCAGAACTGTTAGCGATCATGGAAAAGAGGTTATAAAATATAAGGGAACTCCAGTGAGCATGAGTTTAGTGATGGCAAAAAGTGAAGTTTGATACAAAAATGATACAAAGTGGTCCGTCAATAATGTAGGATAAAAGGGTATGGGGGTCTAGAATTAGGATATCAAAATGCAAATTTATGTGATTTCATTTTATTTACATTTTTGCATAATTCAATAATATGCCCCTTAATCAGGAACTGAACCAAAGAGACATTTTAAGTCTCTTTTTCCATATTTTTAATATATTCCTTTGTCTTAAATCCCATCAATTATTTTTGTTATTGTGTACAATTGCAGACAGGATAGAATGAGTAGTCTTAAAATAAATCATTAATTTGTTTTAAATTCCAGATTGGGACCAGAAATTAGCCACCATTTCATCGAATCCTAGACCACTTAATTCACTGCCAGAGCTCTACTGTTGTGAACAGGGAAGTGGCTTTGAAAGAAGTGTTTTTAAACTGAAATAACCATGGCATTCACACAAAACGACATTTGGCATTCTTAGGTGACTCATTTAGACTAAGTTAATGGTAGCAGAACTACTTTTAATCTAAGAGTGTATAGAGATGGCTATAATCCTAAAATATTTACATGTTGCACGTTCTTTTCAGATTAAGTTTGTCAGCCTAGAACAGGGAATCAATCAAGCCTTAAGAGAACTTGTCACATGTTCTTAGCCCCACTACCAGTCTTGTTGCTGATGCTGGCAAATTATCTTATATTTAGTTCAATGGTTATATGTGGGACCACATAAGAATATAATTGCATCGGCTTAATAATTTCATCATCACCGTTGAGAGGAGAAAAAAAGAACCTTGGAGACAGAGTCAAGGAGGAAGATAAGATGATTGACACCACAGACCCTTGAAGGGGTTCTGGATGCAGAAACCCAGGTATAGCTTAGGCCTGTAGTGAGATGTGGGACTGGTCAAAAGGATTAAGTGAAAGTTTGTATATAGAAGAGTTAACACCCCTATCTTGGCAAGAAGCAAGCCTGACAACTAGGCAGCAACTCCTTAGGAAAAGGCTGGAGGATTTTCTCTAAAGAAAGAAAATGATCCTAAAGAAAAGAATCTTGCATTCTGGCTGCTAGGGACACCCCCTTCCAGCATACTAGTTGGCTCTCTACTTATTGACTCCAAAGGAAGCCTATCAGTTAACTTCCCCCAGGAACACAGAGTTTCATATAGCTTTCCATTGCCTTAGTCTTACATGTGAAGGGCCACCCAGTGATCGACCACCAGATATTTTAAAAAAGAATGTAACATAAACAAAGACCAGGCTGGGCATGGTGATTCACACCTATAATCCCAGTACTCTGGGAGGCCAAAGTGGGAGGATTGCTTGAGGCTACAAGTTCGAGACCAGCATGGGCAACAAAGTGAGACCCTGTCTCCACAAGGGGAAAAAAAAAAAAATAGCCAGGTGTGGTGGTGTGCACCTGTAGCCCTAGCTACTTGGGAGACTGAGGTGGGAAGATTGCCTGATTCAAGCAATCTGACGTTACTGTGAGCTGTGTTTGCGCCACTGCACTCCACCTGGGTGACAGAGCAAGACCTTGTCTCTATAAAAGTAAAATAAATTAAAAAAAAATAAATAAAAGCAAGAAATGACCCCAGAGGAAACAGAATTCAAGGAACACAGAAGAACATAAAACAAACTAACAACTTTTACTAGAGTTCTTCAGAGAAATGGATACACACACACACACATACAATTTATATATATGTGGATTTATTTTGATGGATTATTGGTTCATGTGATTGTGGAGGCTGAGAAGTCCCATGATCTGTCATCTACAAGCTGGAAACCCATGAAAGCTGATGGTATGGCTCCAGTCCAAGTCCAAAGATCTGAGGGGGGCCAATGGGTAAGTCCCAAGTCCAAGTTTGAAGGCCCAAGAACTAGGAATGTGGATGTCAAAGGACTGGAGAAGATGGGTATTCCAGCTCATCTCCATTTTCCTTACAGAGAGGCGCTGTAGTGCTTCAGCTGTTCACTTCAAGGTGGTACCCACATATGGTACCCATACAGAACCATCTGTAAACTAGGACCGAGTCTTCTTTTCCTGTGTCCACTAGATTGTAGGGCACTTGCCATGAGGCCATAGGTGCAGGCTGAAAGAGAGAAGGCAGTGCAGCAGGAGTGGGGACTAGGGACATTTGGACCACTTCTTCGTGTAACTTACTCCGGCTTTCAAGGCTTGTTAGGGCCTAATCATGTACATAACACTTTTATTTGATGATGGAATGTTGTGTTGCTGTACACATCCAACTTTATGAGTTGGTGAGTCAGATAACACTCAGTTCATGATGTTTTAAAATTTTTTTAAGAGACAGGGTCTCACTCTATCACCCAGGTTGGAGTGCAGTAGTGCAATCAGAGCTCACTGAAATCTTAAACTCCTGGGCACAAGTGATCCTCCTGCCTCAGCCTCTTAAAGTAGCTGGGACTACAGGTGCATGCTCCTATGACTGGGTAATTTTTTTTTTTTTGGTAGAGATAGGATCTCACTGTGTTGTCCAGGCTGGTCTTGAACTCCTGGCCGCAAACGATCCTCCCACCTCAGCCTCCCGAAGTGCTGGGATTATAGGTGTGAGCCACTGTGCCCAACAAGAATGGGTTTTTAATATCTGCTTCTGAACCATAATTAAAAATAGATTTCAATAATGCGAAGCTTACAGTGAAGATAAGAATGTGAACTTTAAAAGCCCATTCAATTTCTATTAGAATAGAAATTATTTATTACACAGTAAATATAAATTATTTTTACATATAGATCATTATTGATCAGTAGTGAGCTTGTAGGATCAACTGTATTATTGTTTTTTACTTATTGAGCCCACCAAGGCTGCTCCCATTTTAGAATTTTTCTTGAGCCAAGTACTAATAAAAATATATAGTGAAGATAAAAGATATTTAGAGCCTTTGAAAGATTCTATTTTTGATCTCTCCCTACCTTATCCCCACACACTGCAGAGATGAAGCTCCTTCCTATATAATAGTATGACTATTACTTCTCTTATCAGAACAAAAACACAATACACAAAGCATACTAGAAATATTTGGTTCTTTTTAATCAGCTATTGATGGTATAATAAAATAAATTTAAATTATAAACATTTAAAATAGTTCATTGAAGGGTAATCTACAACATAATATGTTAAGCCTAATTGTCAGAATAATATCTTTTTTTTTTTCAGGAAAGCAGAAATAAAGGCATGATTGAAATTATGGCCAACAACTTGGGTTCATCTGGAAACTTATAGATGATTTTGTAGGCATGTTGGCAGGCACAATGTTGAGAAAGTAATCCGCTAGATTTAGAAATAATAGTAAGATTAAAAAGAAAAGATACATATTTCAGAGGTAATGTCTGGAATTAAAGAAAAATCCACCAAATATCACAACAGATCTTTTAATGACTAATTACTTTTAACATTAAGATTGTTGTTTTGGGGAACATCTTTTCTCTTTGAACATTTAATTACATGTCCAATGTATTAAATAATTTACAGAGAGAAATAAGTTCTGTGTTCTGTACAAATTAAAGGACCCATGAATATAACCCCCTTCTCTCCCTCCCCCGCCGAAGCTCAATTTTGCAATGGTCTCAGCAGAAAATAAACAGTCCACAATTTAAACAGAATTTATAGCATTACGAAAGTTTACAGAACCCCTATCTTTTCATCATTTTTCTAACAACAAAGAGTACAATGACAGAATTGAATGATCAGAATGTAAAAATATATGTGCAAAACTGCATTAATCATTCTTATCAGCTATTACAATAGGGGTAAAACCTAAAAACACACAATGACAATAATGAAGAAAAACTACATTAAAAGTAATTCTATTTTAGATTTGAAACAACATGGATGAGCCTATTACTAAACATTAACAGAAAGTGTGGCACCATGCGCAGCAGGAGCAACAAATGATTTGGCAGTCATGCCAGACGGGGAAAAGCCGACGTTGGAATATGCCAAAGTTCACCTCCACAAGAGCCATCCATTAAGACTGGAAACCACTGTAGGGCTTAAAACTCACTTCAATGTCTTTATTCTTGAATTTGCAGGTCAAAAATGAAATATTTAAGGAAGTCTTTTCCCTCCCTCTCAGGGAGTGTTTCTTACGTTACTAGCAATCTTCAAAAGAGTTGAATCATAGACTCTCTGGATTTACCCACACCGATCCATTTAACTAGAACAGAACAAAAAGAATAAGAATAGCATTAATTCATTTATAATTTTCAATTTTGGGGATTAAGATAGGTGGTTCCCCACTTTTTTTAGCATCACCATTTAACTTTTCCCCGTGTGCCTTTTTGCTGTTTTCTATTCTGTTAGAAGACTCTGCCTATTTCTAAACAGAATGTGCAAACAAGGTCTAAAACAGAGTAGTTTGCCTTACTGTTCCCTGTTTTAATTGCACGTTTTCAATTTCCTAATTCCTAATGACTAGAATACTAAAATATTGGCCCAAACAACCAGAGACCTAAACAGCCTTTGATCAAATTCTTGATAACTAGGAAAGATAAGTTTCTTTGATAAGTGGATAATGCTTAGAGGATACTGAAATGTCTATGTAACTTTTAAACCTCAAAAAGTTAGAAATATTTAGAAGAGAGTATGATTTGAATTTGTGTAGCCTTAGAAATTGCCCACTACACCAGTCTATGGGAATCTAATAACCCATACCACATGGTTTTAGATTATTTACAGAATTACTGTGTTCCATAAGGTACTGTTAAGATCAAGCTTTATGGTATTTTACAGAGGTCTTTGTTAGACTCACTGCTGTTTATATTTCAAAAAATATTGATTAAGAGCAATAAGCAAACATGCTTACTAAATTTGACATCAACTTGGGAGGGGCAGCGAACAATTTAGAAAACATAAGTCATGTTTGAGACTGGGCATGGTGGCTCATGCCTGTAATCCTAGCACTCTGGGAGGCCGAGGTGGGTGGATTGCTCAAAGTCAGGAGTTCGAGACCAGCCTGAGCAAGAGCGAGACCCTATCTCTGCTAAAAAAACAAAGAAATTAGCTGGACAACTAAA